TATCTCTCTGCAGGTGATCAGTGGCGTGTTGTATTGAGGGGAGATAAAGTGGATTACATTCATGCTGTTTTTGTTAATGTAAAGTCTAGCATGTTTTTTCACTGGTGTTGGAATAGGTGTATAGTAGCTTAAGTCCTGTATCTCAATGTACAGGGTTACAAGCAACAGAGAGCATTCATCATAGCTCAGAGTCCCATGGAGTCCACAGCCAGAGATTTCTGGAAGATGGTCCATGACAGGAAGTGTGGAGTCATTGTTATGCTCTGTGACTTGGTAGAAGACGGAGAGGTGAACATTTGTGTGTGTTTTCGTAACACTATAGGAAGTGAGGTGTCATTGTAGGAGATGTGTTATCAATACTGGTCTAAGACAGGAGTAGCTCAGTTTGGAGAGTATACAGTTGATCTGCTAGAGGAAAAGGCAGTCAAGGGATTCCTCCTCCGTAAAATCGCTGTTTACAACATTAAGGTAGACGTGAACCATCTTAATACTTTTAACACAACTGCTATTATTTGTGGTGCAACAGACTGCTGATGCTCATCAGGTTGTCCAACTACACATGGTAAACTGGAGTCCTGATGGCAGCTGCTCAAACCTCCCCACAATCACTAGTGTGATACGTGAGATTACGGATATTCAAATGAAGACTGGGAATCAACCAATTGTAGTTCATTGCAGGTGTGAGCATTCATTCATGTAGGCTAACTATAGATGTTTGGAATCAGTGTATATGAGCATTCAGTAATGACATGGTGACACCTGTAGGCTTTCAATGTTATTTCTGTGATATGAATGACAGGCTGACACCTTTAGCAACACTTTCTTCTGCAGTGACACAGTGGGTAGGTCTGGGATGTTCTGTGCCATAGTCACCACCATTGAGAGGTGTAAGACAGAGGGAGTGGTGGATGTGTTCCAGGTGGTCAAGGCTCTCAGGGTACAGAAACCTGGAGCTGTCCTCACTGTGGTCAGCTACCCACCCAAGAGGGTGAGAAGGTGAGAATATCCACTGTGGTTAGGGTAAATAACTAAGGAATTGTGTGAATATCCACTGTGGTTAGGGCTGGGTATCAATGTTCTTATGTCGACGCTGACAGATCGAGGGAGCGAATGGCAGAGGCTTTCCGTTAGGAAGTCGAGGGTTGGGATTCTGAATCGCTGCAAGACTCCGCGTCCGAGAGTAGCGCTCCTGGGGACGGGCCGTCGGCATCGAAAAGGCGTAGGCACAAACTTCCTGCTGAGAGCCTCGCTCTTTGCATCATCTAAAAATTCAAACCTCTCTGTAGCTGCGGAAGTAGTGCACGTAGCCCTCTTCCTTGTCAGCGAGAGCCTACGCCTTTTAGATGCCGACGGCCCGTCCCCAGGAGCGCTACTCTCGGACGCGGAGTCTTGCAGCGACGTCTCAGAATCCCAACCCTCGACTTCCAAACGAGCCTCTGCCATTCGCTCCATCAATCGCTCCCTCGATCTGTCAGCGTCGATCGTGTTTGCCTGGCTGAGCGGCGTACGATAGAATTAACGGCACGTTATGTATGCGCAGGTTCACGCGCATCGCCTTATTTGGGTGGATGCACCATTTTCGCGCGCGGTTTCCCCAGCAACGACCAATCAGCGGTAATAAACATTTTATTACACCTTTTGTCGTGGTGTTGCGGTTTATCCGATTCAGAATCCCAACCCTCGGCGGATAAACCAGCAACACCACTCCAAAAGGTGTAATAACATATACTATATTGTGGTGTGTGTTGAAATTCTGTTAGGTCGTATGTATCACTAAATGATAACTGCATTAACTGGCCATTATAATTAAAAATCAGCAGTGAAATGCAGTAAAAGCGGTTGTGAATAAACGAAGAGTTTTCAACAGAGTTTGTTCCTAAAAGCTTTCTATTTACGTACAAAATTGCTGTATGTATCAAATGATTCCAGATACACCAACACTGCCTCAAACAACAGCGGTACTGAGCCTGTAAGAGAGAAATGCAGTGGGCAATAGGAAAAAACTGAGGTTAAACATACATATAGGCATGTCTAAGCTCAATGCAAGACATTTTTATATGCTCATACTTGCAAGGTGTTTGAGAACAGTTTAGATAACCCACCACAGTGAGGACAGCTCCAGGTTTGTGTACCCTGAGAGCCTTGACCACGCGTGGTGGACGCGTCCACCACGTCGTCAAGGCTCTCAGGGTACACAAACCTGGAGCTGTCCTCACTGTGGTGGGTTATCTAAACTGTTCTCAAACACCTTTGCAAGTATGAGCATATAAAAATGTCTTGCATTGAGCTTAGACATGCCTATATGTATGTTTAACCTCAGTTTTTTCCTATTGCCCACTGCATTTCTCTCTTACAGGCTCAGTACCGCCTGTTGTTTGAGGCAGTGTTGGTGTATCTGGAATCATTTGATACATACAGCAATTTTGTACGTAAATAGAAAGCTTTTAGGAACAAACTCTGTTGCAAACTGTTCGTTTATTCACAACCGCTTTTGCTGCATTTCACTGCTGATTTTTTATTATAATGGCCAGTTAATGCAGTTATCATTTAGTGATACATACGACCCAACAGAATTTCAACACACACCACAATATAGTATATGTTATTACACCTTTTGGAGTGGTGTTGCTGGTTTATCCGCCCGAGGGGGGAGGGCGGATAAACCGCAACACCACGACAAAAGGTGTAATAAAATGTTTATTACCGCTGATTGGTCGTTGCTGGGGAAACCGCGCGCGAAAATGGCGCATCCACCCAAATAAGGCGATGCGCGTGAACCTGCGCATGCATAACGTGCCGTTCTATCGTACGCCGCTCAGCCAGGCAAACACGATCGACGCTGACAGATCGAGGGAGCGATTGAGGGAGCGAATGGCAGAGGCTTTCCGTTTGGAAGTCGAGGGTTGGGATTCTGAGACGTCGCTGCAAGACTCCGCGTCCGAGAGTAGCGCTCCTGGGGACGGGCCGTCGGCATCTAAAAGGCGTAGGCTCTCGCTGACAAGGAAGAGGGCTACGTGCACTACTTCCGCAGCTACAGAGAGGTTTGAATTTTTAGATGATGCAAAGAGCGAGGCTCTCAGCAAGAAGTTTGTGCCTACGCCTTTTCGATGCCGACGGCCCGTCCCCAGGAGCGCTACTCTCGGACGCGGAGTCTTGCAGCGATCTCAGAATCCCAACCCTCGACTTCCAAACGGAAAGCCTCTGCCATTCGCTCCCTCGATCTGTCAGCGTCGACATAAGAACATTGATACCCAACCCTAACCACAGTGGATATTCACACCATTCCTTAGTTATTTACCCTAACCACAGTGGATATTCTCACCTTCTCACCCTCTTGGGTGGGTAGCTGATTTATTGTGCTAAAATAAACATAGCAACGACCTAGCAACGGGTAATAACTATCAGTATTTACCCACACGTTCCTTCCTGTAAGCTTCTAAGGTCAATGGACTTGTGTGTGCACCCATGGCTCCACTCTGACACATTGGGCATCCTAGTGCAGAGCCCTTTCCGCCTTTTAGTGTCACGCAACAGGAGTGGGTTAATAATAATTAGGGGAAGGATTTCTTTTTGTTCAACGAAAGTGTGTTATCTCACTTCATTGACATGTTTTGTTAGATAAATAGGCTTGCTCCACTCAGGGACGTATTATAGGTTTTGGGCCTTGTACAGGCCTGTCCTCCCCCCACCCTCCGTCACGACAGCTATGTCCCCTCGTGCACATCGGTGTAGTAGTTACTCCTGCCAGCATGGAATGCACTGTTGTTGAGGTCAGGGATCACAGGCTTGTATTTTGACTCAGTACCAGGGTACGTTTTTCCAAACCCACAGTTGGGGTATGGCACTGTTTTACTATTGAAGTTTGTAGTACAGCCACCACAATGTGTGTGACTCACTTTAACAAGATCTGCCCTCAAACATCACCCCCACAGAGTGTGAAAAATCTGTTCCACTGCAGAGACATTCACCCACAATAGCACTACACCATCTTGCATATGGTCTGGAGCAAATCATTATCCCTTGACGTGCACGCACTTTGTTCCTAAGTCTCTTGGTCTGTCTCTCTTTCTGTCTGCCCACTCTGCTTGTATTTCGCATCACACACGCGATGACAAGAGCTGAATACTATCTTATTTGGTATGATAAGGTTATCAAAAGCTAAAAGTGTTTGAGAGTGCTTGATTCACCAACACCAAATCAACTGACACACATGCCTTGCGATCTTACGGGTGGATGGACTTACATGTGCTACCTTCCCCCTGCTTTCAGCTGATGTACTGCAAGACACCTCTGTATTTAATCGAAAGAAAGTAGTTAACTCACATTTCATTTCAGTAGCAGAAGTTACTGAGGTATTATCACTTGGACCACCTGCAGGTATAATAGTGACCACATTGTTTGTTGCGTGGTGCACGTTATTGAACAAGAATACATTTGCTAAGCAAATGGAGCCTTATGTACGAAGAATCACATTGGACAAAATTATATAAATTATAAGGATTGCAGCGAGGGATAGAAACTGATATGATGTACACAAAATAATGCATGCAAATCAGACGACCAGGTAGGCTTACTACGCCAATATTTCTAATCTGGTCACACATTACACTGTGTTTATAATTAGCTGTGTGAAAATGCTGCATGCAGCTTCATTGAGACAGGCTGCATGAAGGAGGCATGCTAATGTCTTAGCTATTTACATGCTTAATGTTGATTGGCCACTCTTACCGGACTGCATTCTAGAGCACTGGACCATGCTCAGAGTTCACTGATGACTGCCCATTACACAATACAGTGAATGCCCCTGTATGTTTTGCAGCTTTTGGCATTCTTGCGTTCAGACAGAGTGAACTATGATGTATAGTTCGTAACTTGAGTTTAGCCC